GGGAGCCCGATGCGGGACTCGATCCCGGGACTCCAGGATCATGACCTGAGCCGAAGGCAGTTGCTTAACCAACTGAGCCACCCAGGCGCCCCTTGATTTTTTATTATAAAAGTAATACTTGCTTAAAAAGCTTGGAAAATGTAGAAAGGTAGAAAAAAAAATGTATCTTCCGGAGTTCTGTCACCTTGATGTGACCACTTTAGTATGCTGTATATTTCTTTTGTCTTTCTTTTCTGTGCACATGGGTTTAAAAACACAACGATAATGATATTCTGCATAATTTTCTCCTAATTTTCTTTTGATATTATGAGAAAGGTATTTTGTATTTTGACACTCGAGAGAAGATTCTGATAGCTTTATAAAACGTTCCAGTGAGTGGCTTGACATTACTTTAGTTGATTGTTGTAACGAGACATCTTGTTCCAAGAGGAATTCTTTGCGTTCATCAGTAATTTGCAGGCCTGTGCTTCTGCCTTTTCCACATTTAGGATGAATATCTTATGAGAGACTGGTGGAAAGTAAATTGCCAGTGAGGGAGTAGCACCCATTTTAAAGTCCTTCCCGGAAAGGGTTGTGCCCGTCTTTGCCGCCCCTAGCCATTAGTGGGGTGAGGGTCTTAACCCAGAGCCACCTGCCCTTGAAGCCGGGTGCCTTGCTGCTCAGTGTTGCTACACGCTCTCTAGTTAGGAGGGGCCGGTTCACATTTGGGTCTCTTTTATCCATTAGAGTTGATAATATTTCCTTATTCATTTGCATAACCTATTTTTTTAAACTTAAATCACACAATGGATATTTATTATAGAAGAATTGAGAAACTAAAAAAAAAAGCAAAGAAAGGAAAAAAATACCTATAATCCCACACCCCAGATAACCGTTTTGACAGGTCAATATCTATCTTTCCAGAATTTGTTTATTCCTGTATAAACATATAAATAAGTATTATAAGTAAATACTCCGCAAAATAAGATCATTCTTACCAATGGGGTCATTTAAAAAAATTGAATGTCTTTAGCATGTATTTCAATAAGTAAACATGGAAACGATCACTTTCAGCCAACGATTGACCCAGTTTCCTGTTGGATGTTGGGGATATTTCCCTAACTGCCCCCTCCATGTGCCACCATGAAGGGTGCTGGAGGGACCGTCCCGGGACATGCACGTGGTCCAGAGTGGAGCTTCTGGGTTCATTCATCCCGCAAAGGGTGACTGGGGGCCTTCCATGTACAGACACTGTTGTCGACCCACGGGACACATCAGTGAGCCAGAGAGATTAAAAATTGCTTACCCCAACAGCTGACCTTCTAGTGGGAGGCTGGAAAACATTAACGTCAGAAATAAGTAAATTGTCTATAGTACGCTAGGAGGTGCTAGGGACATCCGCCTCGGCCCGCAAAAGGCTGTGGTTTGGGTGCGTGTTGGTTTTGTGCTTCCCTGGCCCGACGGCTCTCCTCTCGCGCTCGTCCAGATCATGGGTGAGACCTTAAAGGACCCCGTGATCAAGAGATGCTGTGAGGCCCCGAACCGCCTGGCTGACTTGCAGCACATCAGCGAGGGCCTCGAGAAATGCCAGAAGAGCTTAAACGACTACTTAGACTCCAAGAGAAACGCTTTCCCGAGGTTCTTCTTCATTTCTGACGACGAGCTGCTCAGCATCCTGGGGAACAGCGACCCTCTCTGTGTCCAGGAGCACATGATCAAGGTGGGCTCCTGCGGCCCCGCACCCCTCCACCCCGGGAGCGGCTGCCCACGCTCTGTCGCGGGGCTTGTTCCATCCTAGGTCTCTGCGCGGTTGGCTCAGCCCCGAGGCTAGGAAATGCTGCCTGGCCTTTATCGGAAACATAAATCTGATGAAATCCACTCAGTCTGAAACTGTACAAAGATTCCACTGTTATTTGTTGCTCTTTTTGTAAAGTCCAAAAACATTATTTTTTGGAGAAACTAAAAGGAATCCAGTAATACACAAAGACTAATATAATAAGCAAAGGGTGATGCAGGATGGGGTTTCAGCATGTGGACTTGTTCAAATCCTGACTCCACACAAATTTGCTGTGTGACTTTTGGCAAGTTACTTAACCTCTCTGGGCATCGGTTTCCCCTCCCCTCCCCTCCCCTTCCCTTTCCTTCCCTTCCTGATTTTATTTATTTATTTGAGAGAGCCAGCACAGAGAGGGAGAAGCAGACTCCCCGCTGAGCAGAGAGCCTGGCATGGGCTCCATCCCAGGACCCTGAGATCATGACCTGAGCCAAAGGCAGCTGCTTAATTGACTGAGCCACCCACGTGCCCCTGGGCATCGGTTTCTTATCTGTAAATAAGGATAACCCCGAGAGTTACCTGCTTCAGTGGAGTTGTCATTAAGAGTAAATGAGCTTGGGGGCGCCTGGGTGGCTCAGTCGTTGGGCGTCTGCCTTCGGCTCGGGTCATGATCCTGGGGTCCTGGGATCGAGTCCCGCATCGGGCTCCCTGCTCGGAGGGAAGCCTGCTTCTCGCTCTCCCACTCCCCCTGCTTGTGTTCCTGCTCTCACTATCTCTCTCTCTGTCAAATAAATAAATAAAATCTTTAAAAAAAAAAAAAAGAGTAAATGAGCTTGTATTTGTAAAATACTTAGTGCCTGCCTTATGATGTTGGCTAAATAACCTTATCCATCACCCAGAATTGACTGGTAACCAACTTGTTTCCAGTTAATCCTATTTGCTTCCTCTCTCCCTCCCTCTCCCCCCTTCCCTTCTCTCTCCCTCTCTCTTTGTCAAACAAAGCTGTAGAGATAAAGTTGCCACACTCTTTGCCCCCTCTCCCTGTCACAGCTCTCCCTCCCTTTTTGGGAGGCAGCCACAATCACGAGTTGGTTTGTGAGTCCTTCCAGCTTTGCATACTTGGACATACGCGTATCCATGAACGATATTGACCAGCAAGAAACAACAGACAATACCGTCTCTGGGGATAGACAGCCAGAGCACGGCCAGAATGAATCTTCGATCAGCGGGTCAAAGCTCTATATTTAGTAACAGCCTAGGCCAGGGGTTCCCAGACTTGGCAGTGTCGGTAGTTGGCCAGATAACACTTTGCTCTGTGTGTGTACATGTGTGTGTCAGGGGCCTGGGGCCGTCCTGTGTGCCGTGGGACACTCAGCAGCATCCCTGGCCTCTACCCACTCGAAGCCAGGAGCATCGCTCTCCAGTTAAGACAACCAAAAATGTCTCCTGACATTGCCTAGTGTCCCCCCTGGGGGCAGGACCGTTTGTGGTTTTGAATCGGTGTTGTAGAATAATTCCTTTATTCCAAATAAACAGAGCATGTGAGATCAAGTACAGAACTCCACAGTTTCCCTTTAGTTAATGCTGATTTCCTTCTTACACTAGAATTCATGTCTTGGGTCGTATGTGTTCCTTTCTCAAAGGGGAGTTTTATATTTTGTTCCGCTTTCATAAACAAATATTTGACCGTTATAGAAAAATGCGTGTTAGAAGTACATTTACTGGTAGCCCCTTTTGCAAACCTCTGGTTTTATCTTTTAAAGCCTATTGCCTTTCCCTTCTCCTCTCTGACTGGCAGAGTGCCTTGTCTTATATCCTGAGTCCTAAAAGACTCATTTTTCTGAATAGCATTCTGATCAATATGGCTGATGATGGGCAATGGAAGGCAAGTGTTTTATGTGCCGGTGGCCTTTCTCGCATGTTGTTTGATTTGACCTTCCAACCTCATCTTGGACATGTCGTAATTATGTCTGTTCCAGGCCAAGAGAGGAGCAGCAGATTGCCCCAGGTCACCCAGTAGGGCCGTGGGGGATCCAAGCACACGTCTCACTTGTCAGCCCCATGGTGTTGAATCACCAGGCTGTTCTGTGTCTCCTCTGTCCAGATACCTCTCCCTCCCCGCATATACTCTCTAGAACCTGGTGCCGCCACCCAGCATCCGTGTCACAGGGTGGATGTCCCGCTGTATTGCAGATGTTCGACAACATCGCTCTGCTGAGGTTTCACGATGGGGAGAATGGAGAGAAGCTGGTGTCCGCCATGATCTCAGCAGAAGGAGAGGTCATGGAGTTCCGCAAGATCATCCGGGCGGAGGGGCGCGTGGAGGACTGGATGACCGCCGTGTTGAACGAAATGCGGAGAACCAACCGGCTGATCACCAAAGAGGCTATCTTTAGATATTGTGAAGACAGAAGCAGGTAGGGTCGCGACTGGGAATGCGTGTCACTTTCTCATATGAATAGTCCTAGTGGATGATTTAACACTAAGGGCTTGGAGTAGATCAAGCGACATCCCGAATGAAGTTTTCTTCTCTTGCGGTAGTTAAGTTGGCCCGTGCATTGTCTGTCTTTAAAGGCCCACCTAGTTCAGGACTTCTCAAAGGGTGGTGGCATCTGGACCAACAGCATTAGGGCCCCAGGGAGCTTGTTAGAAACGCAAATGCCTGGGCCCTCCCCCAAATCTGCCCCATCAGAAACTCTGGGGGTGGGCCATCTGTGTATTTCATAAGCCCCTCCCCAGGGATTCTGAGCCAACCACTGACCTGGTGACCCAACAGAAACCAGGTGTTCGGGAGGGTCAATCTGTGTATGGGTTAAGGAGTGAAGTCGTTCCTAAAATATTTAACGATCTCAATCATGCCTTGACTTTTGTGGCCCGAGAAGCATCTAGGCACCGAGCTGAGGCTGCTTCTTGCTGCGAGGAGAGCTGACTTTAATATGCACCTGAACGCAAAGTATATAAAGCATCTTTGGATAACGAGTTCCATTAGATTCAAGCGGGATTCCCAGGAATATATTCGGCAGGGCCTTTATGCACACATAAAACCTCCATTATTATTTTAAGAATGCTATCCTTTCGAATTTATACACTGCCTTTTTGATTTATGGACTGAAAACATCTAGTTAAGTACCTTTATTAGAGAATAGCATTTTATTTGTATGATTATGATCCTTTATTTTTTTAGGTACTGTAAGAATTGGCTTATATCCTTAGGTAATCAGGTATATATAGATCTGTCCAGTGGTGTGCTGGTACACTGGCTTTCTGAAAAAGGGGGAAAAAAACCCCCTTTGATTTAGAGAGTTCATCAGTGTTCATGGTGTCAATACTCCCATCACAGCTGATTTCAAAGCTAAGTGGTATAATGGTAAGTGGTTTGAACATCAGCCTACAAAATTCTTGAATATTTGACAATGAACTCTCGTGAACTGGTAGGAGGTGGCTCTAGCATATTATCAGTTATATTCATTGATTGAGCTAATATTTATCGGGCTCCTACTCCGAGCTAATCACTGTGCTAGATGCTCTTACAAAGCTGAGCTAGACCGAAATCACCAGCCTCCAGAAATAGTGATCACTGAGTATTCTGAAGTCTCCTTAATGCTCCCAGATCAGATGAATTTTACACCGACATTAGTTTTAGCTACATTATAACTACCACTTTGCCAGGGCATTGTTGTGTGTCACAGGGTGTGGTCAGTGGGAGACGGGATAAGGGAAGGCACCCCCAAGTCTTTGCGCCACCCCTCTCCTCCCCAAATGCCCCTCCGCCTCACGTGGGAGCTGTTGTTTCTAACGAAAGGGTGTGTAGTTGAAATGAATGTATTGGTTTGTTTGAACAGACATGTTTTGGTATCACTGAGAAGACAAGCCCAGGGGCATGCAGCCCCAGAAAGCACCCAGTATCCTGCAAAACACCATCATGTTCCTCTTAGCTCTGCCCTGAGTCACTTTATTTTCTCTGGTCAAGTTTGCTTCTGCCCCTCCTGATTTCTAACTTCCTAGGCCCCTCATCACCTTCATTATATCTTTCTAGTGTGTAGGGATCATAACTATAAATACTATTTAGGTTTTTAGAGGCGCCAGACAACCTTAAAACAAGATGGCAAAGCCTAATCTTTTCATTGTTTTAAATATTCTTAATTTATTTTGCCATTCATGTGTGTCATCAAGGTAAAGACTAGTAATTTACAGTCACTTTCCATGGATTGGAACTTACAGCTCTGGGTCCATTATTTTTAAAGTACGATTTGGAAAAAAAATGTGCCCTAAATATATTTCAAGGCACTTACCGGCTTTGGAAATTCGTATCTCTGTAGAGGAAATCCAAGCAGCCAATAAACATATGAAAAGAGGAGAGCTGTTGTTAGTCATTGGGGATCTGCAAATTAGCTTAGAATAAGATACTGTTTTCCCCCTGCCTTTTAGATTGGAAAAAAAAAAAAAAAAAAATATCAAAAGAGTGATAATACCTAGCGCTGGAGAGCATGTGGTGAGAAGGGCAGTGCTATGCATTGTCGGTGGGGTAAGGGTTGCTTCAACCTTTAAAAGTAATTTGACCATTTCTATTAAACTACCCAAAGAATGCACTATACTTTGGCCTGGTTGTTTTGCTTTTGGGGTTCTGTTCTGTAAGTCTAGAAGCAGCTCTGACTCATCAGGTTAGATGCAGAGCAGTGTTTGTCCACCTCAACACTACTGACGTCTGAGGCTGGAGAATGCTTTGGTGTGGGGGACTCTGGTGCCTTGTAGGATGGTTAGCACCATCCTCAGACCCTGTCACCCGCTAGATGCCAGTAACACCCCTACCCCCAGTTGTGACAACTGAAAATGTCTCCGGACATCGCCAAATGGTGTAGAGGGATGTTTATTGCAGTATTATTTGTGTTGGTGAAGGAACTAGAAGCAGCTTAACTAGACACCAGTAAGGTAATGTTTGAGTACACTGCAGCACTCTCAAGCTCTGGAATATCATGCGGCTTTTATAAAGATTGGGTTAGACTACATCCATTGACCTAGAGGCTTACCTCTTAGAATTCTTAAATGGGACAAGCAAGGTGCAGAGTACCCTGTATCGTCTGGTGCCATTTTTGGAGGAACAACCACCACAGCCCCATCTCCCTGTACATCTGTATAACTTTGGTCAGGTGTGCAAGGGAGAGAAAAGAGTAGTGAGTAACACCCAGGAAGCTCTAACTAGGCAAGTGGGTGAGGTGGTCAGAGATGATTAAATTTTTTGTTGGAATTTAAAAATGTAGAAATTCTTATCATATGCCCATAATATTAAGTCACTCTGCAAACCTGTCCAGGCATATTTTAAAAGGGATCTAGCATCTTTCTACATCATCACCTCTAACTTTCTTGTGTGTGCGTGTCCTTGGTCTGGTGTTTTCCTATCCAGCTGGAAGACTTATGGTCATTCGCTTACCTAGAGCCCTCACTTTGCCTCCTCAGTTCCAGATCAAAGAAATTACATTCTTACAGGGACTGTTATCTGGTGCCAGTCCCTGGAAAAAGATCTCGAACAGGTGTGCATTTTCCTTTAGGGTCAACTGGATGCTCCTGTACCAAGGGATGGTGGTGCTGGCTGCCTGCCAGGTGTGGTGGACCTGGGAGGTGGAGGATGTCTTCCACAAAGTACAGGAAGGGGAGAAGCAGGCCATGAAGGACTATGGCAAGAAAATGCACCAGCAGATTGATGAGTTGGTCACTCGGATCACCATGCCCTTGAGCAAAAACGACAGAAAGAAATTGAACACGGTCCTCATCATCGACGTGCATGCCAGAGATATAGTTGATTCTTTCATAAGAGGCAGGTAGGGACCTCCGGGGGCCCCGGCGTGTCACAGTGCATCCTCCACCGGGCTTGGCCTCGCCGTTTCTCCGACCTCCTCTCCCTCCTCTCCCCTTCCAGCATTCTCGAAGCCCGGGAGTTCGAATGGGAAAGTCAGCTGCGGTTCTACTGGGACCGGGAACCCGACGAGCTGAACATTCGTCAGTGCACGGGCACCTTCAGCTACGGCTATGAGTTCATGGGTCTGAACGGGAGGTTGGTCATCACGCCGCTCACCGACCGGATTTACCTGACTCTCACTCAGGTGATCGGCCGCCTGGACTACGGGGTTACCAGCTGCCTGTGGCTATGGGTTGTTCTCGAAGTGTGATTGGGGCGACTGCAGATACCATACTGGGTTGACCAGTGTTCCTCCCTCCCAATTCATGTCCACTCGGAACCTCACGATGTGACCTTCTTTGGAAATAGCGTCTTTGTTTAACTAGGGAAGGATTGGGAACATCCTGGATTAGGGCCCTAGATCCGATGATGGTGTCCTCGTGAAAAGAGGAGAGGATGCAGAGAGACAGGAAAGGTGATGTTAAGACAGAGGCAGGGATTGGAGTGAGGTGGCCACTGGCCAAGGAATGCTTGCAGCCACCAGAGCAAAGAACCCCCTAGGAGCTTTGGAGGGAGTGCGGCCCTGCCAATACCCCGATTTCAGACTCCTGGCCCTCAGTGCTGTGAACAAATACATTTCTGTTGTTTTCAGCACCCCCCCCCCCGCCCCCAACGTGGTGGTAATTTGCTAGGGCAGCCCCAGGAAACCAATGCTGGCAGCAAGGGACATCATTGTTCAAAATCTGTAAACGACTTTGAACTCGGAACAGGACCTTCTTGCCACCTTTTGGGATTGGGCTGTTGCCGGTTCAGGCGGCCCCTAAAATCACTCTCAGGTTTAATAATTTGCTGAAAGGGCTCACAGAACTCAGAAAGGCCATCGCAGTCCTGGTTGTGGTTTAGTATAGCCAGAGGGTGCAGGTCAAACCCCGCAGCAGGAGACGGCTGGGGCTGGGAGCTGCGCTTCCGTCTGGCAGAGTCGGCGTGCGGACAGCATTCGCTCTCACAGCAGCTCCGCGTGGCCACGGGCAGCGAGTGTCGCCATGTGGGGAAGCTCGTACGTGGTGTCTAGGTTTCCAGCTGGGGACTGGTCGTGTAGGAATGGCCGATTGCTTGCATGGCTGACTTGAGTTTCCAGCTTCTCCAGAGGTCAGGCTGATACCATGCGGCCCAGAGTCACAGTTCTCAGGGCATTCCACGGGCTCTGAGGTCAACTCCTAGAATTTGGAGACACAGGGCCAGACCTTTCCTTGGGCTCATCCTTTACGGCACAGATGCACCTGTGTGCTCGAGTCTCGCCTCAGCTCTGGGAACTGCTAGGGCCTCGTCCTCGGAGGAGGCACCCGTTCCAGCATGTCGCTTAGTCACTGGTCCCTATATCACAGCGTGGGGGCGGCCAGCAGAGGTCAATGGAAAAACAGAAAAGAAATGTAAAAGATAGTGACTATCAGGACAGGTGAGTGCGAGCGTGTCCATTGCCACATGTATAGTACACATACGTTGTCACAGTGCTTCGGGAAGCAGCACCTGTTTCCTTGTGTGAATCAGACAACATAGGTTTTGCATTTGGCTCATCAACAGGCCCTGTCCATGTATCTGGGAGGGGCCCCTGCTGGCCCAGCAGGTACTGGCAAGACCGAGACCACCAAGGATCTGGCCAAAGCCCTGGGCTTGCTCTGTGTCGTGACCAACTGCGGAGAAGGCATGGATTACAAGGTACGGTGGAGAGCTGAACGCGGGACGTGGGAGGAAGGCATTGCACCCCACACTCCTCCATGAAAAGACGGGGCGACAGCTGGAAGAATGGAGCAGAAAAAAATCTTTGACCCTCAGTCTCAGAGCTTATACGTGTCTGCTTGTTAGCAGCATGCAGAGCAAACGTTGTGAACTGAAATGCCACCAGAGCTGCGTAGGTAATGTAAATGAGGACCGCAGCACGGGGAGACAGGGAGGGAGGTGAGGAGCCAGGCGAGGGCCACGGCCGGCTGGAGGGCACTGCTGCGGCCCCAGGGGGCGCCACTCTCTAGCTGCGGTTAATCGCTACCACTTGGCGAAAATGGACCCCCGGCTGCTAGATTTTCCAGTATTTCAAGAGAAGCCAGGACTCTGGAGTTTTCCATGAAAATCCTTAATCTGTAAACTCCTGTGAATAGGAGAGCTGGCCCAGGAGGGTCCTGGAAGTCTTGCCAGAAAGATCCATTAGTGGGGCGGTTGGCCTGCTGCCTCTACCAACCTGATGTTCACTGTTTTAATTTAGGGAATCTATCTGTAAATGTATCGCGTGCGATTTTAAAGGTAAAAATTGCCCTTGTGCTTTTTTTTTTCTTTTATGCTAGGCCATTGGGAAGATTTTCTCTGGCCTCGCCCAGTGTGGGGCTTGGGGCTGCTTTGATGAGTTTAATCGAATCGATGCCTCTGTGCTGTCAGTCATCTCCTCTCAGATTCAGACGATCCGAAATGCTCTGATCCATCAGCTAACCACGTTCCAGGTGGGCGCGAGCATGCAGCCTGACCCGATCACATTCTCCGGGGTGGAAGCTTTGCCGTGTGACTTTAGAAACATCAGATGAAGATTTGACAGATTTTTGCTTTCAAATTGAGATGGTTGGGTTTCCCCAAAATTATCAGCCTCTTTGAGAATTAGGAACTGCAATATTCTAGAACTTCGAACGAATTCCAGTAGTAGAAGTAGTAGTAGCTACCGATGGGTAAGGCAGTGTTCTCAAGTAAGTGGTGGACAGAGCCCCCATTAAAGAAAAAAAATATATTCTTGGTCACTTCCCAAGTTCGAGAAAAAAGCAGTCTTCAAGATTAATGGTCTGATCAAAATGTCTTTCAATAGATGTTATCACACAAACACAAAATTTTGCCTTCCTACCTCGTCAAGTTAGAGGATTTTTAAGGTTTGTTTGTTATCAAAACGAAAAGGCAGATGTGAAAAATTTTTGAGCATCCACCAGTCTCTGCCCATCCAAGGATGCATTTGTAGACCTGAGTTGGTAAGTCTGTATTAAGTTACAGCTGACGAGGCTGGATCAGAATTTGGAGAAACATGATCTTATTACATAATTTAGATAGCCCAGAAGTGGGTTCTCTGACCAAAGGGACCAGAGTGGCTGGGCCACATCCCTGCACCGGGCCCCCTGGGATCCTAATGTGCTCTGCTGTTCCCCCTGTGACCCTGTGTTCCCAGCATTCTGTCATCCACATGCCACTCGCCCTGCAGACACACCAGGCTCTGTCACACCAAACGTGTTCCTGTCTGCCTGAAATTGTCCTTCCTTCCTTTGTGCCTGAAAACGCCTATATATCGTCCAGGGTCCTACAGAGCCTCATCAAGAAGTTCAGGGCACAAATTTGGCTTGGGCTGGTGAGGATTCACTTGTGGGTACTTCTGTGGCCCTGGCATCCCGCCTGCTTTTCTCCCAGATCTCAGTGAGGCTCACTGTCAAGAGATTATGTAAACTTGATCCTGTTAAACATTTTCAGGATTCCCATAAAAGCTTTGGATGCATTTTCTTTTAATTGGTTCTTCTGAAATATTTTAGGGCCAAGCTTACTGCTTCTGAGGGAGGGAAATTGAACCTGAAGTGCATTCAGGTTTGTAGAACCTGTGTTTTTTTTTTTTTTTTTAAGATTTTATTTATTTGTCAGAGAGAGAGAGCACAAGCAGAGGGAGTCAGAGGCAGAGGGAGAAGCGGGCTCCCTGCTGAGCAAGGAGCCCAATGTGGGGCTCGATCCCAGAACCCTGGGATCATGACCTGAGCTGAAGGCAGATGCTTAACCGACTGAGCCACCCAGGCATCCCTAGAAGCTGTTTTTTTTTAAAGAGCAGGCCTGTCTGTCCAGAAGGCAATCTGGGCCCCACATGGATATCAGGGAGTGGGTGAGGGCGGTCTCAGCGTGGGCTTGGGAGACAAGACAGTGGCTTCCTTCCTCGGGGCCGCATTAGCTCCCGAGGCAATCTGTGCTTCATAAAAACACAGTTTTCTGTCTTTGTCTATGTGGTGGACCAGTGAAAGAAATAAAATAGTAAAATCTTAGAGAAAAAGTTGAAACAGGTGAAACTGAACCAGAGGCTAAAGAAACTCAAAGTATAGGGGCATCTGGGGCATCCCCAGACTGCACTCTTTCCCAGCTTCAGCCACTTCTCAAGTGTGCAGAGCCTGGATTCGGATCAGGGTTGGGGGGAGGTCAAGGCTTGCCGCCTAGAACACTCAGGTCATAAGCACGAGGACTCCATGTTTAATGCCTGGAAACGGAAGGGAGTCAAAGGGTGGCCTCTGCCTTATACCTGTGAAGACGGACGGTCCCGTGGCTCTCCCAGCCCCCTCTCCCCGGTGGTGGGCCTGCTGGCCTTGTAACCGTCTTCCTTTCCTATCATCCTCCAGTTTGAAGGGCAGGAGATCTCCCTGGACTCGAGAATGGGCATCTTCATCACCATGAACCCGGGCTACGCGGGCCGCACGGAGCTGCCGGAGTCGGTGAAGGCCCTCTTCAGGCCCGTGGTGGTGATCGCGCCTGACCTGCAGCAGATCTGCGAGATCATGCTCTTCTCGGAGGGCTTCCTCTGGGCCAAGGTGCGGCCTCGTTAGCGCCCGGCCCGGCCATCCCAGGAGCCTGGCTCCACTCTCAGACGGGGCACTTGGGAAGTTTGCATTCTGTGTGGCTTAGTTTGTTTGTTTGTTTGTTTTTTGCTTTGCCTCTCTCCTCCTCCTGGTCTCTTTTTAAAATTGTAAGTCTTATTTTTGAGTAATTTGACTCACAAGAAGTGGCAAAAATAGGGGCTCCTGGATGGCTCAGTCGTTAAGCGTCTGCCTTCGGCTCAGGTCACGATCCCAGGGTCCTGGGATCGAGCCCCGCATCTGGCTCCCTGCTCCTCAGGAAGCCTGCTTCTCCCTCTCCCGCTCCCCCTGCTTGTGTTCCCTCTCTCGCTGTATCTCTCTCTGTCAAATAAATAAATAAAATCTTAAAAAAAAAAAAAAAGTGGCAAAATAGTGCAGAGTTCCACGTGGCCCTCCCCCAGTGAGGACATCTTATACCCCCTAAGGCAGGTTGTCAAAACCGGGGAAGTGACGAGGGCACAGTGCTGTTAGCTCAGGTATAGCCTTTACCCGGATTCCATCAGGCTTTACGTCCTCTCTCTCTCTCTCTCTGGTATGTATGTAGAGTTCTAGAACATTTTGTCACGTGTGTGGCATAACCAGCTCCACACTCCCGATTCAGAGCTGGGCCATCACCACAAAGAAAGCCCCTCCTGTCATCCCCTGGTAACACACCCTTCGCCCGCGCTGACTCCTGGCAACCACCTGTCATTCTTTGTCGTGACAGTTGGTCACTTCGAGAATGTTCCGTGCATGGAATCATACGTATGTAACCCTCTTTGAAGGGCTTCTTTCACTTAGCCTCATGCCGTGAGAATAGGTGGCTTTTAAAACACGCAGACGCACACAAACACACATGCACACAATCTCCTTTATCATCTTAGAAAATATGTATAAAAAAGTATGCACCTGTATTTTCCCAGAAGCTTCTGGAAAATGTGCAAAATAGCAAATACTTTCAACACAAAGGGTTGTGAGGTTTCTTTTGTGTAATTTTTTTTTAAAAAGGCTCTTACTGCTCGCGTGTTGTCCGGATTTTGACCAGGAGTGTTGGGATCTCTGGTTCTTAGTCCCCACGCCATCCTTAGGGAGCAGCAGGCTTTGAATACTTGAAGTAGTCGTCTGCATCAGTGGCTACATCAGTAGTCTATGAGTGGCTGATTCGTCTTGAAAAATGAGTTACAGGAGAAGCTTTTTTTTTTTATAAAAAAGATTTTATTTATTTATTTGAGAGAGACTGAGAGCAAGAGAGAGAGAGCATGCGTGAGCAGGAGTTGAGGGGAGGGACAGAGGGAAAGGGAGAAGCAGACTCCCTACTGAGCAGGGAGCCCGATGCGGGGCTCAGTCCCAGGACCCCAGGATCATGACCTGAGCTGAAGGCAGATGCTTAACTGACTGAGCCACCCAGGTGCCCCCCAGGAGATTTAATAATATGTTCAGGTCCAAATAAACAGGAAGCATATCTTCAGAGTGTGATTGCTAGGATTTAAAAAGTTGGACAGGTTCTATTCTTTAAGCCAGTGAAGATCTTCCTCAGCTTTCAATGACAGTCCTCAAAGTTTGGTAAGACCTGCATTCTCTGAAATTAGTGCCTAATTTGTCATCGCTGAAAACGAAGGCCCCACCCTAAGTTGTTGCTCTAGGAGGCAGTGCTCCACCTGAACACCTTTATGTCCATTTTCTTTGTGGAATGGTGTCCTGTTGCTTTCGGGTCATTTTCTTTCTTTGCTTTTCATTGTCTTTGATCGCAAAAGACCCTGGCCAAAAAGATGACCGTCCTTTATAAGCTGGCCCGGGAGCAACTCTCCAAGCAACATCACTATGATTTTGGACTGAGAGCCCTGAAGTCCGTGTTGGTAATGGCTGGAGAGCTGAAGAGAGGCTCTTCTGACCTTAGAGAGGTAGGGGGCCATGCATGTGGGCGTCCTCCGGGGCTTCCTCCAGTTCTCCCGCACCGAACAAACACTGGGGTGAGAAGATGGGCTACAGTATGGTCCCCATTGGAAAGTTTTAGTCTTCGCTGTCACTTCATTTGGTTGCTGGCCTTAATTGAGTCTCTTATAATTTATTATTATTTTTTCTAATTTGACTAATTATCATAGGCCAAGTTGAAGGTCTTCACAGCACCAAAGTGTCTGCAGGAAGGTGGGGTGGAGGGGTGGGGACAAACCCCGTTCTCAGGAAGACATGAGCCTAAGTTTGCGGTGTTTTTTCTGCTTTGCAATAAAAGCATGAGACTTCCTCTAAAGCAGACATCAGCCATTGCTGTTTTGTGGGCAGCAGGCTCCCATGTTTCTCCAGCGACTACACTTGCAGGGCTGTAGGTCTTATATTTTATATACAGTTTCGTTTTATATTTCATAAGTGGATTTCTAGACTAGTCCCTGGGTCTTTCGGAAATATCTTTGAAGACGTCTCTTCTGTTCCATCCAGGATGTGGTGCTGATGAGGGCCCTTCGAGACATGAATCTGCCCAAGTTCGTATTTGAGGACGTCCCTCTTTTCCTTGGTTTGATTTCTGACCTGTTTCCTGGACTAGACTGCCCGCGCGTTCGCTACCCTGATTTTAACGATGCCGTGGAGCGGGTGCTGGAGGAGGGTGGCTACGTTGTCCTACCTGTCCAGGTAAGTTGGTGTGCAAAGGAGTCCACAGGCGGCGTCTGGGTCCTTTCCATTTGAAAAAAATTAGATGTGGTAAAACACACCTAACATTTACCATCTTAAGCATTTCTCTCTCTCTCTCTCTCTTTTTTTTTTTTATTGTGGTGAAGTACCCATAACGAAAATTTCCATCTTACCCATTTTTCATACAGTTTAGCAGTGTTAAGTATATTCATATTGCTGTGAAACAGATCTCCACAACTTCTCCATCCTGCAAAACTGACACTCTGTCCCCATTAATCAACAACTCCGCATCCCCCTCCCTAGTCCCTGGCACCCACCCTTTCTGTCTCCATGAATCTGACTCCTCTGGGGACCTCATGTAAGTGGCATCTGGCGGCATGCATCCTTTCGTGACTGGCTTATTTCACTCAGCATGTTCTCCTGGCTCATCCATAGTGTGGCAGGTATCAGAATCACCTTTCTTTTTGAGGCTGAGTCCTATTCCACGGTATGTACCTACCACCCTCCAGGTGTTTTTGGTATAATGTGATAAGTATTTCGTTTTGGGGTCCCACCATCTCGTGTTCTCTCCCCACCCCAAACTTTTTCTTTTTTCCAGAGTCACACTTGCAAGAAAAATTAAATTAGATGTTACTGATAAGATTTTGATCGTCTGAAATCTGTAAGGTTGTATATGTTGTCAGTAAGCCATAAATTATTGCCGGAGTGTTCTGCTGAGGGTGTAAATGCCTAAGGCTGCAGGACCAGAGTGGCCGCCTCTGGTCAGGCTGTCTCAGGGCGTCAGGCTCCCCAGAGGCCTCGGGCTGCGGCAGCAGGTACCAGCCACAGATGAGAGAGCTCTCTGCACCTTTCCTGACCCTGACGTTTTCTTCTGGATGTGGTTGTTTAGGAAGGGAATGTGAAATGGCGTAGCAGCTATGGAAAAATAGTCTAGCAGAGTCCCAAGACGTTAACCGTAGAGTTACCATATGCCCCGGAATCCCACTCCTGTGTACCTACCCAGGGGAAATGAAAACATAGGTCCACGTAAGAACTTTCACACAAATGTTCGTAGCACCATTATTCGTAAGAGCCCAGAAATAGAAACAGTGCAGATGTTCACCCATGGATGAATAAACCTATCCACTGTGGATAGGTTTATTGTGGATGCAATCTATCCACACAGTGGAATAGTACCCAGCCACAAAGAAGAAGTCAGTCCTGACCCACGCCACAACGTGGATGGACCGTGAGAACATGCGAAGTGAGAGTAGCCAGACACGAAGGCCTGCATATACCGTGGGAGCGGTGTCAGCAGCTGGGGGGTGGGGATGAATGAATGCAGAGTTTTGGGGGTGATGAAAATGTTCTAAAATTGAATGTGGTAATGCTGCACATACTAAGACCCAATGAACTGCACACTTAAATGGGTGAATTGTGTGGTATGTGATTTATAACTCAACAAAGCTGTTTAAAAAAAAAAAGAAGATGTGTTTACTCCTGCCAATGGTTGCCCCACAGGTGGATAAAGTGGTTCAGATGTTCGAGACCATGTTAACCCGCCACACGACCATGGTGGTGGGGCCCACCGGAGGGGGCAAGTCCGTGGTCATTAATGCTCTGTGTCAGGCCCAGACCAAGTGAGTATGACCCCGAGGGGAGGGCCTGGTTGCCAGGGTGGTGTCCCGGTCAGGATGGTGGTGGTATCACCTAACCCCACTTTGCTTTCTCAATTCCTGGGAGGTAAAATTTGTTGTAAAACACTGCCTTTTAAAAAAATTTTTATTTATTTATTTATTTAATGTATTTAGAGAGTTGGGGGAGGGGGGGGGACGGAATCTCAAGCAGACTCGTGCTGAGCGTGGACCCTGTTGTGGGGCTCAATCTCACGACTCTGAGATCATGACCTGAGCTGAAATCAAGTCAGATGCTTAACTGACTGAGCCACCCAGGTGCTCCAAACACTGCATTTTTTTAAAATTACGAAAGCAAAAAGTTCATTCATGTTTGAAACTACATATAGCTACCAAAAGAAGACATTTTTAATCCAGGTGTAATCCAGTTAGAAAGGAACACAAAACATTTTTAATGCATTGGACGTATGGCCACCAGTTATTTTCATGACCCAATCATCTTCAGAATTGCATACAATACAAAAAGAGAGAAGGGGGGCACCCATTACACAGGGTCAATATTCAGTCCTGAGTACTGAAATCTGAACACATCAGTGTCCTAAACACCATGTTAGACTCAGAGCGTCTCTACTTGTTTCATTGCTGATTTGCTAGTTTAGAAGGCAAAACAGTGACCCTTTCGTGCATCAGACTATGACTGGGTTTATCTGTGAGAGGAGTGTTTCACAAACAGCCTTATAAGGATATTTTGAAAATTAACTTAAGTTGTATTTTCTTGGTGTTCAGGTTGCTCCTTCCAAGTAAATCAGGACACTCACCATTATGCAATACTATTATGGTATCAGAGTGGCCAAAAACAGAGTGTCCTCTTCCAAAGGCCTTATTATCGCCAGCCCAGTGGGAGCATTGCTGCTCCAAGGGAAAGGGACCTCACACTCCTAATACAGAATATTCTGAAGACCTGTAGTGAATGTAGTGCCTATCCTTATACTGAGTTGGTTCTTCTGACTTCTCACTTTTCTCTTAAGCAAGAACTAGCTTCCAGAAAGACTTCATGCTAATATTCCAGCAAAAATCTAAATCAAGCCTTATAATCTTTGTGACTAACATTTCTAGATAGTCTATAAAGCTAATGAGTAAGTGTCATTTTTTTTTTTCTTATTTCTTCTTACGTTTCTTATGAGAAAACCAGTGGACAGTGGCTTACTGATTTTAAATGGGTGTGCCATAGCCATCCTGCCTTTTATTCTTTTTTTTAATATTTTACTTATTCATGAGAGACAGACAGAGGCAGAGGGAGAAGCAGGCTCCCTGCTCAGCAGGGAGCCTGATGTGGGCTCGATCCCAGGACCCTGAGATCATGACCTGAGCCAAAGGCAGATGCTTAACCCTGAGATCATGACCTGAGCCATCCAGGTACCCCTGCCTTTTATTCTTTAATTAATTCATCATAGGTAATTGATAGAACTTCATTTACATGTGTGTATTTACATGTCACCATTATTTTTATTTACTTATTTAGTTAATTATGAACTACTGTTTGTGTGAAGTCTGGTTTTCTGTAGATGAATTAATCCCATAATGTTACAGGAATTTATAGGCATTATGGTGGCAAATGCCCTGTCTACACGATTTATAAAGTCAGCAACACAGAGCAGATATCCCGTAAATATGAGGGATTGAACATTAGTAGTCCAAGGGTGTGTTATGTTGTCCTGGATGACTATTATCTCCTATAAGCTAATTAAGAAATATTTACATAAATAGTCATAGGCATGAACATATAACTTAGCTTCTCGATGCCCTCAAAAGGCAAAGCTGTGTTTTTAGTTCAGATCTTACTTGTGTTGGGGCCACATTTTCGGTGAAACATGGTTCCCTTGCATTTAGTGTAAGCCATTAACAGTAAGTGGGAAGCCCAGCGGAGAGTTTGTGTGGGTTGTGTTGTGTTTTATTTTACTTAAATTTGATTAGCCAACATGTAGTAGTACATCATTAGTTTCAGATGTGTGGATTGCATTTTAATTCTGGATTGGATCTAAAACATCAAATCCCCACACAGGTGGCCCAGACTGTTTTCCTAATGCGTTTAGGCCACCTGGACCACAGCTGAAGCCTCTCCTTTGATTTAGGCTTGGGCTGATGACAAAGTTGTACATCCTGAATCCCAAAGCCATGAGTGTCATAGAGCTCTATGGCATCCTGGACCCCACTACCCGAGACTGGACAGATGGGGTACTGTCAAACATCTTCAGGGAGATCAACAGGCCAACAGATAAGAAGGAGCGAAAGTGAGTACCTTTGTGAGTAGGAGAGAGCCTGGGTTAGTTCATGTTAATTATCTAAATGTTATGGGTAAAAAAGACAATGGACGGTATTGCAGTTTCATGCATGGATGCCCACAGACTTAGAGTCAGATGTTGAGGGCCCTGTTCACAAAGTACCGGGTGGGATCTTAGTTCTCTATGTGTTATCTCTGTCTCCTTGACTGTGAGGATACTCTCCCCTCTGTAAGGGTACTTGTCATTGGAGAAGGCCCCACCTGGATAATCTAAGATGCTGTCATCTTGAGATCTTTAATTACATCAGCAAAGACCCCCCTTTCCCCCCAAATAAGGTCTCATCACAAGTTCTGGATGGACATATCTTTTGGGGGTCACCATTCAACCCATTGCACATGGGTATATAAAATATTTCCCTTTTCTCTTAACCTTACCATGAGAAAACTTGGTGTAAAAACCAGTGATAAATAGCCATTGCTATTCAGTCTCAGTTTCAAGAAAAAAATGAGATCGTGGTACTGTCTGTCTCCATGGACAGCTGCTACTGTGCTTCTGCAGATTGTTCCTATGCCAGAATGCAGGTCTGTGTTGTCAGCCCTCCAGTCTGCAAGAGAAGCAAGACATCCAGATTTTTGTGTGAAGTTTCTTAATTCCTCAATTCAATGTTGCTGACTGACTCAAACAGTTTTTGTAAGATTATTTATTTGAGGGAGAGAGAGTGCACGAGTGGAGGGGCAGAGGGAGAGAATCTCCAAGCATAGTCCCTGCTGAGCACCGAGCCTGAAGTGGGACCTGAGCCCATGACCCATGAGATCATGACCTGAGCAGAAACCAAAAGTTGGACGCTCAACTGAACAAGCCACACAGGGGCCTGGACTCAATTTTTATGTTGTTGTTGTTGTTTTTCCATTTGATTTTATGCGTCAAAGCTCTGGACCAAGTTGGGTGCTCTGTCACAGGTCCTGGGACAAAACTCCAGGAAAAAGACATCAGCATGAATGGGGAGGTTCATGAACTTTACATAAAGCAAAGGCTTTTAAACATGCAGTCTAGTTGTTTATAGCTGTAGACATGACTGGTTTTCTTTATTTCTCCAGGTTGGAGATTTACAGTATGCCTCTTTCAAAGCTTGGCTTACTTTTCTTTGCTACAGGTATATTTTATTTGATGGTGATGTAGATGCTCTGTGGGTGGAAAACATGAATTCTGTGATGGATGACAACAAGCTGTTGACGTTGGCCAATGGTGAGCGCATTCGGCTTCAAGCACACTGTGCTCTGCTCTTTGAGGCAAGTAGTGATGAAAAATAATTTTTAATATGTCTTTTAATTAAAAATTTAAATGTTCATTAAATTGGTAGTAAATATAGATGACTAAAGAAAACCCAAACAATGCAGAAGAGTTTTTATGATGAGTACAACTCAGTACTCCCCCTACTCCTCTTATCCCTCTTTATTGAATCCCAGAAGTAACTACTTTTCACTCTTGCATTACTTCTGATCATTATCCTAGTTTCAGTAAATAACACACTTAGCATGCTGTTCCTTCCTTCCAGTCTATGCTATGACTGCTATGAAAGTGAGAGTTCATCTCTCATGCCTCTAGCTTACTCCCCTCCTCAGAATACTATATTGCTAAATCAGTTAAATCAGTAAACAGTATTTGCATTATTATGTATATGGAAATATTTACTGTAGAGCCAACTAGTATACTGTTATTATGTTTACTTTCTTTTAGAGTCTTTTTTTTTAATCTGGAGTTTGTAGTTGCCTTCTTTTTTCTCTCACACTATTTGCCTTTAACTTTTCTTCATTTGTTTGAAATTTTCAAACTTTCTATCGTATCTTTTGAACCTGTTTCACAGTGGTGGCCCTGAGACTTGCTTTCACTTTGGCTTAATGTCAATGCTGTTTTTAACTTGGCCTGCAAAATTTGTCGATGCATGAATATTTGTGCATATCATTCTTATTGGTTGACTGAACTGTGTTTTTTCATAGAGAGATAAGTGTGTTATATTTATAGTTTAGGTGCATACATATTAAGTTTTATACTACCCAATCTCAACGACGTTTTAAAAAAGTGAAGAAAAAAGACTGAGAGGAAAATACTCCAAAACAATGTTTGTTTCTTGGTGTTGGGATTTTGGATAACTTATTTTCTCCTCTATAGTTTTCTATTTTTGTCAGGTAGTCTAAAGTATATTAATTTTCACGTTAATTTATAGTTAAGGAAAACTTAAAAAGGTGCTACATCAGAATGTATAATCTTCCCATGGTAAACTTAAGTGTTCAGTTAGAAGCCTCATGAAAGCTGTGTTAATCTGGGTATGACATGGGTTTTATGCAGTTGAAAAAACTTTACATAAAGCAAAGGCTTTTAAACATGCAGTCTAGTTGTTTATAGCTGTAGACATGACTGGCTTTCTTTATTTCTCCAGGTTGGAGATTTACAGTATGCCTCTCCTGCAACTGTGTCTCGATGTGGAATGGTTTATGTGGATCCTAAAAACTTGAAATATCAACCATTCTGGAAAAAATGGGTTAATGAAATACAAAACAAGGTGGAAATTATTTCTAAAATGAACTTAAAAGTTATTAGTACTAGTGGTTAGTTGGATAAACATAATCCAGAGGGATGTTTGTAGTTAAAGCCATGACCTTGACCTTGATCTGTTTATGATCTTAAGCACTTAGTGTTATTAATAAATTGGTTGAAAACATGGAAGATACACTTAGGAGATTTCCAGATAATTCCATAACTGATGGGATAGGTAATGATTTTGATAATATAGATCAGGGGCTGACAATTTTTTCCGTAAAGGGATAGAGAGTAAATATTTTAAGGTCTGTGGGCCATATGGTTTCTTTTGCAACTACTGAACTATGCCATTGTGGCCTGAAAGCAGCCATTGTAGGTGAATGGGCATATCTATGTACCAATAAAACTTTATTTACATAAACAGGTGGTGGGCCAGATTTGGCTTGTGGGTTGTAGTTGGCAAATCCTGGTCCAGCCAGGCCCAGCTATTAAGAGACTTGTCTCTAGAGGGGCTGGGCCCAGCTTTTACTTAATTGGATGAATGTTGTGTGTGAAGGACCTAGCTTGTCATGTAATTGAGTTCTGATGGTTTTAGTTAACTTCAAACTCTGTCATGTGTCACGTGGCTGCTAAAACCTGTATCATTGTACAAAAGGCTTCATTAAAAAGTGCAGAGTGGGAGCCTGGGTGGCTCAGTCAAGCGTCTGCCTTCGGCTCAGGTCATGATCCCAGGGTCCTGGATCGAGCCTCACATCGGCTCCCTGCTCAGTGGGGAGTCTGTTTCTCCCTCTGTCCCTCCCCCTGCTTATGCTCTTGCTCTTTCTCTCTCTCAGATAAATAAAAAAAATCTTAAAAAAAAAAAAGTGCAGAGATAGGTGTGACAGTCATGTGAAGGTTGTGAGGCCCACACACATGTGAAGATTTGACCACACCCAGGACACCATGACCATATTCTCAAAGTATCACTAGAAGGACCATTAGGCTGATAGTGAATTGGAAACCAGGACATAATTATCCCACAGAAGAGAAGACCAAGGGGAGCATGATAGGACCATGGGAGGCATTGCTGTAAGGGAGAGAGGGCTGTCTAATGGCCCATGCAATCTCTGGTGGTCTTCTTCAGAAGAGGGGCCTTCTGCTGCTTTGCACTCTTTGCAAGATGACTGTGGCCATGTAACTTGAATTCAAAGATAATCAGCCCCATTTCTGTCAAATGGGATCTGCTATCCTCCCTCCCTCCCCGGTGGTGGGGTAGACTCTATGGCAGTGAAATGAAATGCTTCACGATGAAAGTGCACTATAGGGGACAAATCTCTACAAATATAAGGCACTATTACCAGGGTTTACTCACCTGTCAAATTTATCATTCATCAGAAGACCTTTCTCATCCCTCTTTTGCCAAGATAAGCTTTCCACTAGCTTCCATTTAAATAAAGGAATCCTTGAAAATGCATTGGAATTCTGCTCTTTTATAGGTAGAGCAGGGCAATTTAGAGAGTCTCTTTGAGAAATACGTGCCCTATCTCATCGATGTGATAGTGGAAGGGATAGTGGATGGAAGACAAGGCGAGAAGCTGAAGACAGTAGTCCCTCAGACAGACCTAAATATGGTAAGAAACTCTCTCTGTTAGCAAAGAGAAATTCTTCCCTAAAGGTGGACCCATAGTCCAAGGGAAGCAGAGATGCTAGGGGGGTGAACTGTAACATTGCAGGTTACTGACAAGGAAGACACAGCTCTTCCTTCAGGGACCCTGTGCAGGACAAGATGCCAGGCTCCATCTGATTGAACCAGTATGGTGGGTCATAAGTTCCTATCACTCTGGGACCTGGGATCCCAGGATTTAGGACCAGAACTGACCCTGGGGTGGGGGGAGTACAATATATGGGCTGATCGGGGATTTTCCTGTGCACTAGGTAACCCAGTTAACCAAGATGTTGGATGCACTACTAGAAGGAGAAATAGAGGACCCCGACCTTCTGGAGTGCTATTTCTTAGAGGCTCTGTACTGTTCTCTGGGCGCTTCTCTGCTCGAGGATGGAAGGATTAAATTTGATGAATGTATTAAACGACTTGCTTCTTTGCCTTCTGCCGATACGGAAGGGGAATGGGCCAATCCCGGGGAATTGCCAAGTAAGAACTGAGTGCAACCTGTTTTCCTGCTCAGAATGCTTTTGGGGAGGTTTTTAGAGGAAGTGACCTTGCTTTTCCACGTGTTTGCCTGTATGGGTTTTGCAGCTCGTTTGCTTCTGTGGACAAACATGCAATGGTCAGAGCCCCTGGTGTATCCTCAGAAGTTCCAGCATGAGCTGGAGCCCCAGTGGCTTTTCATGTTGACTAAACTTTTTTCCTCTGAGGCTAGGCACTTGCTGCCTTCCCTTTGTTTAAGTTTTTAAAATTTGTCACACTTTGCCTGACTTTGAGTTTCTTCTCCTTTGGACTTACCTTTTTTTTTTTTTTTAAACCGCCTCTCTAAATTTCCTCGACTTAATTCAGCTGCTGTCTTCCCGAGTATTTGAACAGAAGGTGATCAAGTGAGGATCGGTAGGTCATTCTTAGGAGATCATCATATTAAAGTTTTAAGTTTGTGTGTGAAAAAATGTGCATGCTCCAAGAACTATATTTGGTGAAAGCATGCCTTTTTCAAGAACTATACATAACACTAGGATCCGTCTTTGTCTGTTTCTTGATGATATTTGAATATGACTTGGCCCGTAGACCTCTTTCCAAGTCGTAGTCTATCCTCATTACCTCAGGTGTTCTTTTGAACGCATAGAGTAAAATGGTCTCAGGTCTTTCTAATGGAGACCACTGAGCAAATAAAAGATGTTTTTCAAGTCCCCGCCCTCTTGGGTGGCAGTTTGCTCAGACTTTCCCAGCTCGGCAAGCCTCCTTTGGGTGAGTGCTTCCCAACTCTGCATGCCACGTGGGCTTCGTGTGGTAGTCATCAGCAAGCCCCTCACTCGGGGGCCCTAGTGTGCTCTCGTTTTGGGGACCTGAGTGGCCCTGTGGACACCTCATTTCCAGATGCCTTCTGCCCTCAACCCCAGCAATGGGTCCCCTGACCTCATGCTAGCTCAAAACACCTGGCACTGTGTCTATGTCTTCTATGTATATTGGCCTCCGTGACTCCAGCCATACCTGTCCATCTGGGCCTCGCGGGGACTGCCACCCACCTCTCTTCTTGTCCCCTCTCTAGCCCAACCCTGTGCTCCTTGCTTTTCTCTTCGCGTCCTTCACTGTTGGTCTATTACCCTCTCTTGTCCCAACCCTTGGCCCCCTTGCCCTGTTGTCCTTTCTTAAATCCCCGTGAGGAGCCCTGAATCTGTCTTCTGTGCTTCTCCAGGGCTGAGTGACACAGAAAACCATGAATTCAGACTGCTGCCTCCGTAAATGGAGTCTCGGCCTTGAACTCTCCCGTCCTCACGGGTAGCCTCCCTTTCTTCCCCCCAGACCACCTGACCCTCTTCCCTCGCTCTGCAGAAGATCGTTCTTGCTTCCACAGGAAAAATGGAAGGCATCAGATTCCCCCAGACTTGTTCCGCTCCCCATCTCCCTGCTCAGGGAGGAGGTGGCCCCGGCCACAGAGGCTGCCCTGCACTTTGGGGCTTGCCCTCCTGCCGCTCAGGGGCCCGCTTCCTCGCTGGGCTCCTCTTGAGCTGTCTCTCCCGTCTCTCCCCTACTGACCCCATCCCAGCCACTCCTGGACCTGCTCAGGTGACACCTTCCTAATCCTGTCTCCTTCTAGAGACGTCTCTCTGCCTCTTTCCTTTTAAGGCCATGCATCCTTCAAAGGCTGGCTGCAAGCTCTGTCCTCTCATCCCTCTCGCTTCTCAACCCACAGCCACCACCTCCTCGCCCCACAGCTGAAATGTGCTTCCAGCAAGCATCTCCCCTGCCCTCTCCGCCAGAGCCCATGGGCCTTCTTGCCCTCGCTGTCCTGACCTTGCCCCAGCGTCCAGTGCGGCTGACCACGCCCTGCCCTCTTGAAATGTTCTTCCTCTGCCCTGCGGGCCACTCCTGCCCATCTCCTTCCTCCGCCCCTTCCTCACATTGGGGTTCAGTCCTCCAGCCTCCTTTTGTGCTTCATGTCCTCATGGAGTGCTGGCCATGTGCCCACATCTTCTGACTGCCAGTCTCCTTCCCTTCTGCGCCTTCTCCTGGTTCCCTAGCTCAGTTCTGTTGAAATCTGTCTATCATCATCATCTATCAATCACCTGTCTGCCTGCCTTGCACACTGGTGACCTTGATACTTTTTCCCCCACAACCTGTCATTTCTGTCTGTCACCCCCACCCCTGCCATCTCTCGTGAGCTCCTGTCACCTGTGCCCCGGGCAACGCAGGGGCCTCACGAACAGATCTCCCAGTCTCTCCTTACCTCCTCCAGATGTGTTTCCCTCTACAGTCCTACTGGTCATTGCATATGCAGATCTGACCACGTCTCCCCCAGGAGGCTAATGTCAGTGGCTCCCCAGGACCCACAGGGTGGAGAACCAGCATCTGGAATGGTCAACTGGGCTCTTCATGCGACAGCCCTGCGGCCCTTCTAGCTTGACTTCGCCTGCTCCTTCTTGCACTACCCACTCACTCCTTTCTGTTCCTCCAGCCACCAGCCATGCTCTCTTCTCCCTCTGACAGAGCCTCCCGGTGGCCCCCAGGGCTCTCAGCTCAGGACTGCCCACCTTTCAGGTCTCAGATTGGATGGCATTTCCTTTAGGAAAGGTTCCCCCAGTGCTAGCTGTAAGAGTTGGCATTGCTGGGGCCTACGGGGGCCCCGGCAGTCTGTCTGGGAGGAGGTGCCCGAGGGAGATTTCCTTAGAGCTGAGTTTGCGGAGCACCCTGTGAATGGTGTTCAGGTACAAAGAGGTTTGTGCTCTGGGGAGGCCCGGGGCGTCCCATGCTCCCTGTGGCACCCGGTGCTTCTCAGACCTCTCCCCTGCCCCTTCCTGGTTAGATGCCCTCACGCGGTGCCCGTGCACCTGGGCTTGCCCCGTAGCAGAACGTAGCACCACCCCCGCGGGCCCACCAACACCTGTCAGCCTAGGGACCGGGCCTGTCCGCCTCTCTCTCGTGTTCTCAGGGAAGGGACTCAGCGGCTCTCCGCCCAGTGGACGGGAACGTTCATTGGGATACTCAGTTAAGTTGCCGTCCAGGGAACAGGGAGCATGAGCTCAACTCTAGCATGTGCCAGAGCTGATTCTGAAGTTCCAGGTCTAGGACTGAAGTGAAATCAGGCCACTGTTTACCGCAGGTCACCTTCCAACCTTGTATGACTTTCATTTTGATTCCACGCGGAAGAAGTGGATACCGTGGAATCAATTAGTTCCTGACTATGTGCACAGCCCCAAGAGGAAATTCATCGACATCCTGGGTAAGTGAGAAGCAAACCCCGTTCTTGGTTTAACAGCGTGGGGCTCTCGTTCCGTGAGGCAGGAGCACGGGTCCGGTGGCCTCTGTGGCACTCCCGAGGCCCACCCAGTGTGCGGGCTGGGCCAAGAAGGTGGCGCGCTCGGTTCCGTTTCTGTGCCACTGGTGCTGAGCATCCGCAGACGTCGGTGACTCTCAGCTGCTACCTGGCAGGTGGGGTGGTGGCTGAATGGGTGGCTCCGCATCCCCTCACGTCCCTGGATGGCTGGCTGGCCCCGGAAGGAAGGAAGGACGAGAGAAAGAGGAACGAGCGAGGTTGCAGCGTGCAACCTCGGGGTGGCGTGCCGTGGACGTTTCTGTGTCGAGCTGTATTTTGAATGCGCCCCTCTGGCTATTTAGGTAATAGTGGCTGATAGAGGGAGACGTACCCAATTCCTCAGGAGCCGGTTAGGATTAAAAACGACCAGTGTGTAGGACTGAGCCAGACTAGGCTTCGTCTTCGGAGCAAGTCGTTGGTCAGGAAACCAGGCCCTGCAGAGAGGTGACTGACGTAAGCCACGGAGACGCTGAGTTTTTAATATCCTGATATCCAGCAGAACTGGATATCAAAAACCCGTTTGGGTATTCTAAATCTGGCTGTGGCAGTGATAGGAATGTGTCCAACTCACCAAACTAGACCCTTGACGTGGGTGGATTTCATGGTGTGTAGGTTATATCTCCGTAAAGCTATTAAAGATAAACGGTTGGGGTAAGGAGATTCTCCTAAGCAGATCGCACCCACCCGTGCGTTTTCAAGGTCACATCTTGGGTTTTCGCTGATGCTTTTTGTGGGTTGTTTGGGATTCCGTGGAGCTCTGTGTTGCCACCTGCCCATCCGCTGGCGTTTCCGGGATGCTCCCATGCCTAACATGTTCCTCAGTTCATACAGTGGATACAACACGCATGACGTGGATGCTGGAACAGATGGTCAAGATCAAGCAGCCTGTTATTTTGGTCGGTGAATCTGGCACCTCCAAGACAGCCACTACCCAGAACTTCCTCAAAAATCTGAATGAAGAGATCAGTGTAAGTCATTGTACTCGTTCGTTACCTACGGCTGCGTGACAAACAACCCCAACGTGTAGCAACTCAGTGCAACCGATGCTCCGTATCTCACCGTGTCTGTGGGTCAGGAATCTGGGAGTGGCTCCGCTGGGTGGTTTGAGCTCAGGCTCTCTGCTGAGATCACTGGCCAGCCGTTGGCCGAGGCTGTAGTCATGTGAAGGCCTGACGGGGGCCGGAGGGCCCTCTTCCAAGATGGCAGGCCTCAGTTTCCCCACTGTGTAGACCTTTTCAAGGGCTGCTGGATGGCCTCTTGATGGGGCCGCTGGCTTCTGCCAGAGCCAGTGTCCAAGACGGATGGCAAATCAGATACTGCACTGCCTTTGATGACCTAGGAAATCACCTACCTTCACTTCTGCCACCTTCTGTGGGTCACACAGAGATCACGGTGAATCACCTTGATAGAGTGTGGGAGGGGCCTACGCAGATGAATAGAATACCTGGAGGTGAGGATGAGCGGGGGTCATCTTAGAGGCTGGCCGTCGCATTACTCATCACCATTTTGTGGTTTTTGCCTTCCTCCAGCCCTGTGTTATACGTGCGAGGGTCTGACCGTGTCCGTGCCACGGGGGCAGGCAACAGCCAACTTGCAGTCAGATCTGGAGGGACTCCTAGTCAGTGGGGGAGACAGACTCGAAAAAGAACCCCTGAAACACGAGAGTGCAGAATGTGCCAGGGCACCAGCAAACTTTAGGAACAAAGAGGGTAGTTCTCCTGTCTAGACTTAGAGTTGCCCTACGTGGGCCGCCTGCTCATCATTTCAACTGCCCTGGCTTTAAACAATTTTTATTTAGTGTTTTAATAACTGAGGAAAGACTCTCTCTCTTCCAAGGAGCTGCCTGTGAGTTTCAGGATATCCAGCTCATATGTACTTGCCCCAGATCCACTCTGACTCAGGTTTTTGTTAATATTCACTCATCATTTCTGGAACCTCCTTCTGGAACCTCCAAGGGGAGCAAAGTTTCCTTCAGCTTTCCTCCCTGACTCTCTTGCTTAGGCTTGTTCCCAGGAAACCAGAGGGTCCCCTGGGGCAGGGAGTGGGCAGCCGGGCTTTGTGCGATGGGCGTCGTGTGATGTGGGCAGGACTGGGCCGGCCTGCCTGTGAGTGCTCAAGCCCACTCACACACCGGCGCATGGAAACATGGTTTACTTAGCTCTCAGGATGTCATTGTGGAGGGCACAGACGGGAGGTTTCCAGCCCAAGGGACCTGCACGTTTGTGGAGTCAGGCAAACAATAGTGACATTCAGAAACCCCCACCACGATGCCCTTTCCCCTGGGGTTCAGCAGCCAATGCTTCTCGGCCCAACAGGCACATCTGATCACATTCATTATAACGAGATGCACATTCGCCTTTGCCACGTTCAGCTCCTGTGCACCTGCCCCTGTGGGCCCCTTAGAGGGCAGGGTGATCTACAGCAGTGGTTCTCAAAGGGTGGTCCCTCGGCCAGGAGTATTGCCTGAAAACTTGCTTACACTGTCCTAGACCTATTGAATTGGAAACTCTGAGGATGGGGCCCTTGGGGCTGCGTGGCACCAAGCCCTCCAGGTGACCCGGGGGCATAATTAAGTCCGAGAACCACTGACCAATGAACTCTCACTGCTCTAAGAAGCACAGTGAGAGGCCTGGGTACATCCCGTGTGTGAGGATGTGCACTCCACACAGGGATCCGGGGGCCTCCCTCACCTTTCTCTCAGCAGCTAGTTCCAAAGATGCTCTCTCAGACCTATTTATTAAGATGCAGCAGGCACGCTAGTCACTTATGGTTGAATACTACTTTGTCATATTGCAAACACCTCTGTGGATTTCATCTCCTGTGATTAAATCACCCTATGAAGTAGTTCAAGCAGATGCTTTATAATCGTCTTACAGATGAGAAAAACGAAGCTCTAAAAGGTTGAACCTCTCTTTGGATGTCCCCTAGCCAGAACTGGGCAGAACTAAGACCCCCCCCACCCAGTCCCCATTGTGCCCAAGGCCCATGTGCCGCCACTCATTATTGCCCTGTATCATCTGCCAAAAGGAAAGAATGGAGGACAGACACACGTTGGGTTATAAAAAAGTTCAGATACCAGTGAATTTGCAAAATTGATGGTAGCTCATGGTCCAGCATTTCCCTCTGGCACTGTGAAGACACGACCACCTTCTGGAATGATCCTTCTCTGTTGCAGATTGTGTTAATGGTCAACTTCTCCTCCCGCACCACATCAATGGATATCCAAAGAAATTTGGAAGCAAATGTGGAAAAACGAACCAAAGACACGTATGGCCCACCCATGGGAAAACGCCTCCTGGTGTTCATGGACGACATGAATATGCCAAAGGTAGCCTTAGGTTGTGGAGCAGGGAGCGGTGGCCAAGGCTGTGTTCTTGTGTTTGTGTTGCTGCGTATGTGTATGGAGTCTGGGAGTGTGAGAACACGTGTCTTCATTCTTCGTAACACCTGCAGGGTGCTGGTTATGGGGAGCCAGCTCAGGAGACAATGTTAGCGGAATGCTCTTCTTACCCAGAGGGACTTTTGCTTACTGATGGCTTTCCTTGCTTTCTTAAAGGAGTAAAGTAAGCAGCAGGCAGCCTCCAAACTCTTTACAGCATGTGTTTGAGTAAGTGATTTCCAATGCGCTCAGATGATAATACTGTTCTCAGTCCCACATACTTGGGAAGCATACGGCAGACACTTCCCAAGGATTCCTCTGGATTTACCAAGGAAGAGAAACTTCAGCATGCATGAGGAGAGTGTTTCTGGGGCCAGAGCCTGAGTGGTGTGAATCTTTCTTAGTACTGAAATTTAAGCTTATGTAATTCCTGCAGCATGTTTTTTTCCTCTGAAAATCTATCTTCCACATAGACTGTGTGCAGAGCCAGGATCCATCCATCCATCCATCCAACCATCCATCCTTCCATTTATCTATCCATTCATCTATCCACACACTCATCCATCTGTTTGTGCATCTGTTCATCTATCCATGCACACACCCATACACCTTTTTATCCATCCATGCATACATCCAGTTAACATATATTTATTGAGCACCTCTTAAGGGTCTGGTGCTGAGCAGTGATGAACAAAACATAAGTAGTCCCTGCTCTCATGGGGCTTACGAGACAGATTTTAAACAATTACAAATGAATATACAGCCGCAAACCTTGAGAAGCCCTGTGGAACGAAAACCACGGTGCTCAGAGAGTAAGAGAAGAGACAAGAATTAGTTTCGATGGTCAGCAAAGGCATCCCTGAGTTCTGTTTTCCAGTACTACTGTTATCTCTTTTCTTTAAAAACTAAATCAAGGTGGATGAATATGGCACACAACAGCCAGTCGCCTTGCTGAAGCTGCTGTTGGAAAGAGGCTACTTATATGACCGTGGGAAGGAGCTGAACTGTAAAAGCATTCGGGACCTTGGCTTTATTGCTGCGATGGGAAAAGCTGGAGGAGGCCGCAATGAAGTTGATCCGAGATTTATTTCACTGTTCAGTGTCTTCAATGTACCATTTCCTTCAGAGGAGTCTTTGCATTTAATTTATTCCTCCATCCTGAAAGGCCACACCTCGGTAACTTGCTTTTAGTTAGCTGTCTAAACTAGAGGGCCTTGTGTTGGGGAGAAGTCAACTTAGGCATTAGGCACAGAAGGCACGAGGCCCACGGTCCTTTTGGGGGGGGTCCATGAAAATGTTCTGATTCCTTTCAAAACCAGAAGAAAAAAATGAATATAGTCTAGCCTGGATTATATTCATCTTTATACCAGTACAGTCGTAAAAAATAAAGTAATATATTTTTATGGTGGAAGAGGCCCAGAAGGCAAGAGTGTCTTGGGTCCACAGAAGTCATGATGTGGCCCTGAGCTACATGTGCCACATCGAGTTGCAGCAGTGACTCAATTAGGGGACCAGGACCTGGAATCAGAGCCCATTCTGCTCCCTGGGCACGTTCCTTGAGCTCTCCTAGACCTGGTTCTCATCTGGAAAGGGGATAATGATGGTATCCACGTCACTGAGTTTCTGGGAGCATGAAAGGAGAAAAATGCACGTGAAATGTGCGGCACAGTGTCTAGGACATAGCAGATACTCATTAGATACTAGTTACTGCTCTCAGTATGATGATTTAACTTGGCCGCCGCCTCCTGCAAAATGGAACCCATTCATTTAAACGATGACCTTTTGGTCCTGGCATTTCCCTCCTACAGTGAGGTCTGTGCACACAAAGTCTTCAGGGGCAGGAAAGATAAAGGCGTGGAATGGCGAGGTGTGATCGGTAGGAACTGGGGGCACCTGCCATGTTCACGCCTTACCTTAAACTATTCACTTTCAAAACTGGGAGGTCTGCACTAGTCAAATGCAAACCAAAGGCTGGTTTGGGTTTTGGTTTCACATCATGTTGACTTGCCAGTTAATGTGAAAATTTAGGGAAACAAAGCAAATCAGATGATAAGTTTCTTTGACCTTTTAATTTTTTTATTTTTTTTTATTTTATTTTTTTTTAAGAGAGCGAGAGAAGAATGGGGGGTGGTGGGAGGGGCAGAGGGAGAGAGAATCTTAAGGAGGCTCCATGCTCAGTGCAGAGTCTGACGCAGGGCTTGATTTCACGACCCTGAGATCATGAACTGAGCCGAAATTGAGTCAGATGCTCAACCAACTGAGCCACCGAGGCGCCCCTACATATCTCCTCTTTAAAAATTATGGTAAAATTCACACGGTGTAGAATTAGTTATTTTAACCATTTTAAAGTACACAGTTTGGGGCGCTTGGGTGGCTCAGTCATTAAGCGTCTGCCTTCGGCTCAGATCATGATCTCAGGGTCTTGGGATCGAGCCCCACATTGGGCTCCCTGCTCGGCAGGAAGCCTGCTTCTCCCTCTCCCACTCCCCCTGCTTGTGTTCCCTCTCTCTGTGTGTCTTTCTCTGTCAATAAATAAATAAAATATTTAAAAATAAAGTATGCAGTTTATTGGTATTGAGTACATTCACAGTGTTGTACAACCATCACCACTATCTAATTCCAAAATATCTTTGTCACCCCAAAAGCGGTCACACTATCTCATCCTTCAGCCCCTGGCAATTGCTAATCTGCATTCTGTCTCTGTGGATTTCCCTCTTCTGGACATTTCATATAAACAAAATCATATACTATGTGGTCTTCTGTGACTGGCCTCTTTCATTAGCCTTATGTTTTCAAGGTTCATCCGTGTGGTAGTTTATGTGTTAATACTTTGCTCCTTGATATGGCCAAATAATATGCTGCTGTATGGATAGACCACATTGGCTTATCCATTCATCCATTGATAGACACTTCGTTTTTTAGGTGTTTCATGAAAGCATCATGGCTGTGAGTGACAAGCTGACTTTCTGCACATTGGCGCTTTACAAAACCATTGTGCAGGACCTGCCTCCCACCCCATCTAAGTTCCATTACATCTTTAATCTTCGGGATCTCTCGAGAGTTTTTAATGGTTTTGTCCTCACGAATCCAGAGCGGTGAGTTTGTTTTGTCTCACTAACATGTGGCCCATTGGTATGATGATGCTTTTTCTTACTCTTTTATGACAGAGGACTTGTCAATGAACTCGATGAATCAATGTATCCCTTATTCACCCACTTTTTGTTCGTTAAATGAAGAGAAGAGTTAAATGCATGGTTAAGGCCTGATGACTTGTAAGCCCTTGACTTGAAGACAGGTGGAATCAAGAAAGGCAGATGTGTGGACACGTGGACAAGTGGATTTAGCCCTTCAGTGGGACTGCTCTACTGATCATTTGTCCTAGTTCTAAAATTGCCTTTTGCTCAGGCAACTGAATTGTTTGCAGTTGCTAATTGGTTACATTATGTGTGTCTTTGGGAGAAGTAAGCACAGGGGACAGAAAGGATTTAAGTCTGGGTATAGACATTTTCTTGTTAAAGCTAGACTTGTGTATTTATGTTAATGTATACTTTATGCGGATTTGCAAGCATAGTCCGATTTTGTGGATTCACATTGAGTCCACAAAATTTTGAAAAGTGAGTTAGTTGAGGGCTTTCCACGTACCCAAACTTATTCTCAGGTACCCTTGAAGGGTTTGGAATGATAGTTCAGGAGAAGACAGCTCCAGGTATATAGCAGGGGGTGAGGGCTCTTTGTCAGAAACCAGAGAAAGTTCTGGAACTGGGGCCAGATGGAGCTGGTTCTTAAGCGGCCAGTGGCCTTGATGCTGATTTTAAATCCATATATCCCAGCAAGTAGGAGCCGGGTCAGGTATACATTTTATGTCACTTATGTCATTTACAGATAATGTTCTTTTTCTTCCTGACCAGAGGATAAATTGTAGATGGTGATTTTATGGTCTTTACACTTAATTTGTTAGTTTCCATTAAATTTCATTAATGTGAGACCAGGGGGAGAAAAGGACTATAGAGAAGTTGTCCTTTTCTGTGCCCTGTGTATCCATCTGAAAATAGTGGCATGTGGCGCCTCTCTCTCTAGATGACTTCGAGACTGATTTTGCCCCTTCCATCATGTAGGTTCCAGACAGTGACCCAGATGGTGAGAGTCTGGAGAAACGAGTGTCTGAGGGTCTTCCACGACCGATTAATCAATGAAACAGACAAGCAACTGGTCAGTACCTCAAAACAGACCAGCAAATTCAACTCTGGGTGAAATAAACAAGTGTAGTAACCCCCTTCTCCCACCATGTATTTTTTTTTATATAGTTCACCAATGGAGAAAAATATACTAACAACAGAAGTTGACAGATAAAGGAGGGTGGGTTATTAAGTACCTTGTAGCAACTGGAAAAAAGGAATTACCTCAGATAATCTTAGCGTATGTTCTTTTTCTGACAAGTTTTAGCACATCTATGTTGTTGAGTCTGGGTCCTTAAGTGGTTTTCTGTCAAAAGGTGCAAGACCACATAAGAGACTTAGTTACGGAACATTTTAACGATGATGTGGAGGTGGTGATGCGGGATCCCATCCTTTTTGGAGACTTCCGGATGGCCTTGCAGGAAGAGGAAACACGCATTTATGAAGACATCCAGGATTATGAGGCAGCCAAGGCTTTGTTTCAGGTGTGGATGGGGGTGATCTTCTCCATGCGCTCACGTTTCCTGGGAGCGCTTCTCAGGGGAACCAAGCACTGCACGGGTACTCAGGAGGCGGAGCTGAGAAGAATACCCGTGACACTGTCTCAAGGTTCAGAATGTAGGCTCGTGTCCAGTCCGGTGATCACCATGTCCGGCGGTGCACGGAATGACCTGAGGAATGTGTTAAATGCACGGGCCCCTGGGCTCGCCCTTCTGAATTTCCCTTCTTCAAGCCCATGAAAGGTCCCGGGATTCAAATGCACAGCCAGGTTTGGGAACTACTCAGCTGACTCTCTGATACTCATTTTCATTTTAACTCATGACTTGAGCCCTATAATGAGCTTTGGCTCACTGCTGGCTGATCACAAACCAGCAGATCAAAACCTTAGCTGTCAACACTAGATTTAGTCCCATAAACCCAGATGATTTCATTATTTCAACCACTATAGATTATTGAAAAGAAAATCAATCCTCTGTTCTTAATTCCTCCTGGACAAAAGGAAATAGTCTGTCTCTTAAAATCCAGTGATCCTTTTCAATTTTTTTTTTTTTAATTCAGGAAATTCTTGAGGAGTATAATGAAAGCAACACCAAAATGAACTTAGTTCTCTTTGATGATGCTCTGGAGCACCTAACCCATGTGCATCGCATCATCCGGATGGACCGTGGCCACGCCCTGCTGGTCGGGGTTGGAGGCTCTGGGAAGCAGTCTCTTGCCAGGCTGGCCGCCTTCACAGCCGGCTGCGAGGTGAGTCAACCTCCCCTCCCAGAAATAAGTTTGTTAAACCAATTTCAGCCATTGGTAGTTCATGCAAATATTGGAATAATCTATAACAGATCATAACATGATGTTTTCATGGAGTGTAGAGTTGTTTTTTTTTCTCGTTCTTATTTTAACTGAATGTCCAAAGAATCTAACTTTTGTATTATCTTTGGAGTGGAGACTATGTCAAATCAAATTTGAGAGTCAAACATGAGCAAGTCTTGTGGTCTGTGGTGTGTATTCATGTGGAGGAGGGATTGGCCCAAACCTCCGTGGACCCAGCATTCGGGTCAGCAACTTGCTTCCTGGCCGTTGTATCTGCACGACCAGCCCACACAGTTCTGGGCCATTCTTAGAATCTCTTTAAAAAAAAAACAAAAAAAAACCCCCAAAGCAATAGCTTTATTGAGATATAATTCACTAGTCATACAATTCACCCATGTGCAATTCAGGGCTTTCCAGTATATTCACAGATCCACACAACCATCACTGTAGTGTATTTGAGGACATTTTTGTCACCCCCAAAAGACATCCCATGCGCCTTAGCTTTCTGCCCTTCACCCAGCCCTAAAAAAAACACTAATCTACTTTCTGTCTCTGTAGACTTCCCTGTCCTGGACTCTCCTGTGAATAGAATCATAGAGGATGTGGTCTTTTGTGATAGCTTCTCTCACTTAGCATAGTAATGTTTTCAAGCTCCCTCCATGGATCAGTACTTCATTCCTCTTTATGGCTGAATCGTGTTCTGTTGTCTGGATTGACCACGTTCTGTTTACCCCTTCACCCGTTAATGGCCATGTGGGTTGTTTCCACCCTTTGGCCGCTGTGAACGGCGCTGCTCTGAACGTTCACGTACAAGTCTGTGTGTCAACACGTGTTTTTGTGTCTCTTGGGTAGACACCTAGCGGTGGAATTGCCGGGCCATATGGCAGTTTCATGTTTAATCACTTGAGAAACTGCCAGATTGTTTTCCAAAGCAACCGTACCATTCTCCAGTCCCACCAGCACTGCGTTGGGGTTCCTGTTTCTCCACACCATTCTCAGAATCTTCCAGTGAGCTCCCGCCGTGCCCACTGGCAGTTCACTCCTGGGGGCCTCTCCAAGTGGAGATGTGTAACATGCGGGGAGGCTGAATTTTGGAGAAGAGTCATCTCTACAATTCACTTGTTTATTTTTGATTTCGTTGCTTATGCTTTAGTGTCATATCTAAAGAGTCATTGCCAAGACCCATGCATGACAATGTGGGGTTTTTTTTAAGCAAAGGTTAAATATGGGTGGTGAGGACAGTGGCATTATGTCCTTCATCTTGCTTGGTTTGTTCATTTAAATGCCTTAACAACCAATAGCAGCCACAACAAAGGATTATCCTGATTTATGCTACTGGTAATATCCATTTTCCCCTGTTCTTGCCACCGCTGGATACTGTCATTCTGATATTTGCCAATATTATAGGTGAAATATAGTAGAGTTTAAATAAGCATTTCTTTCTTCAAATTCATAGTGAAATCCGAATATCTTTTTATATGCTCATTGGATATTTGACTTTTCTCTTTTGTGAGCTGCCTTTTTATGCACTTTTGATTTGTGAAAACTCTTTATATAGAAGAGCAATCAGGGTTAGTTGAATGAATCTAGCTTGCAGTATTTCACAAATATTGACCTTTTGTTTAAAACATTTCTAGAAAAGTGAAAAAACAAATTTGGTTGATTTATCTTTAAAATCTGATACAATGTGTGAGCAAGGGGCGCCTGGGTGACTCAGTCGGTTGAGCATCTGACTCTTGGTCTCGGCTCAGGTGGTGATCTCAGGGTCGTGGGATCGAGCCCATGTAGGCTCTGTGCTCAGCGGGGTGTCTGCTTGGGATTCTCTCCCTCTCCCCTTGCTTGCTTTTTTTCTCTCTCTCAAATAAATAAATCTTAAAAAAAAATGTGACCAAAATGTCATTGTTTTATAATTGTACCTTTTTCTAGACAAGTTGATTTTTTTCTGTTGATGGGTCTGGGTAAATCAGACATAACTTTCCTCTGAGGTAGTGGTTGTGCGTCTTGGCCTCGGGGAATGGCAGAGAGAGGGTGCCCGAGGGACCGAGGAGGAGGATGAAGGCGAGCTGGGCTGTCGCTGTGCCCTGCCCGGGAAGTGGAGGGGAGGCTGGGGGGTGGGGCAGGATCCCAGCGAGCGGTTCATGCCAAGTGGAGTTAGGAACTGTGGTGGGGAAGCAGAGAAGCTGCACCTGGGGAGGACGGATGGGGTCTGCAGGTGTCAGATGGAACCGGAGACCAAATATTTGGCTGAACGTCGTCCGTGTTGCCTTGAGTGTGTGTGTGTGTGTGTGTGTGAGAGAGAGAGAGAGAGAGACAATGTGAAGGTCTGTGCGACCACGTGAGTGTAAGTGTGGAAGTGCACCAAGTGCTGTGCAAGGACACGTGAGTGGAACAGAGGGTGCGTGTGCCCCTGTGCGTGGGTGTGAATTGGGGTCAAGGGGAGGCTGGGTCCTGGGGACGTTCGAGTTCCTGTAAGTCTTCTGAGCTGTTTCGGAGCTGACGGTGGGCTGCTTGCAGTTAACACGTGTATGCCCCCGGGGCCAAGGGAAATGAAGGGAAAAGAGGTGACTGAAATTTGTGTCCTCGTTTACATTTATGTCTATTTTGTGTGTAGTAAGATTTTTAAATTTAAGAATTTGAAATGGCTTCTTCCTTAGTTGCCCTACACATCTTCCCACGATCTCTCTCATTTTCGATGAACTCTGAACGAGACTGTGCCCACACGTTACGGTTGTGCTTGTGTGTGTGTATGTTCCGTTTTTCCTTGTCCTTCGTGGCTTGGCCCATCCTCTGCTTCCTGCCCCCCACCCCGTCCCCGTTCCCGGCTGTCCCCCTGCCCTGAGACTCAAACGATTCGTTTAACGACTGAAGGTGTCCTTTTTTCGGCCGTACTCACGTGATCCCACCTGCACAGACCTGTGTCCCCCACGCACACTGTCACGCCTACACGTGTGTGCACACACAGCATGTATCTGTCACCGCTCGTCTGACGCAAAGGGATGTCCGAGTTTCCTTCGTCCTGCATTTCCCACTCAGCAGCGTTTGTGAAGATGGCCCGGGGAGTCTGCTTTCGCTGTCACTCGTGTCCCCGAGACGGCTGCACAGCCTGCCCCTCTCCCCCTGCCGTTGGCCGGTGGTCTCACCGCTGCTGTGCTCTTTGTCGGCAGGTGTTTGAGATCCTTCTGACCCGAGGCTACTCTGAGGACAACTTCCGGGAAGACCTGAAGAACCTTTACCTCAAACTCGGGATCGAGAACAAAAGGATGATCTTCCTGTTCACGGACGCCCACGTGGCCGAGGAGGGCTTCCTGGAGCTCATCAACAACATGCTGACGTCAGGTGCTGGGGGGCTGCTCCCGCGAGGGACGTGCTGGCTGGTTACAAGGGCAGGTGGAGGGGCCACTCGGCGCACACCTGGTGGGTCACGTAGAGCAGATTGGAGGTCACTGTCTGGGCAATGATGTGGCCTAGGCTTATGTTTTCACGGGTCCCTGCCCCGTGGGGTCTAGGCAAGAGGGAGGTGAGAACGGGAGAGGGTGGCCGGTGACCTGGGTCTGGACGGTGCCGGGCGGGGGCTGGGGGTGGTGGGAATGGAGAGAAGTGGGTGGATTCACGAGCTAGTTTGGAGGTGGAGCCAACAGGACTTGTACGGATCGGATGAGGGCAAGTAAGGGAGAGCGCACCCAGGAGGCTCCCAGTTTCTGGCCGGAACGAGTGATGAGTGGTCCCATTGCTAGGAGGGGGAAGACCAGCTGGGGGCTTGTGCCGCTCAGGATGTGTGGAGTGTGTTACACTTACAAGAAATCCAAACAGAACATCACAGAGTGTATTAGCTAGCACGCTAGGGCTGCTGTAACAAATGACCATGGAATGGGTGGTTGAAAACCACAGATATTTAGGGCGCCTGGTGGGCTCGGTCGGTGGAACGTGCAACTCTTGATCACAGGGTTGTGAGTTCGAGTCCCATGTTAGGGGTAGAGATTACTTAAAAAAAAATCTAAAACCACTAACATTTGTTGTCTCACAGTCTGGAGGTCCCACACCACGGTGTCGGCAGGGGTGGTTCCTTCTGGGACTCTGGGGGAGACTGTCCCAGGCCTCTCTCCAGCTTCTGCTGGTCTCTGTGATTCCTTGGCTTGTGACGCCTCGCCCGGGTTTTGCCTTCCCACTCTCCCTGTGTGTGCATGTCTGTCTCCGCATCCACATTTCCCCCCCCCTTTTTTTTTTTTTAAGATTTTATTTATTTATTTGAGAGAGAGAGAATGAGAGAGAGAGAGCATGAGGGGGGGGGGGTCAGAGGGAGAAGCAGACTCCCTGCCGAGCAGGGAGCCCGATGCGGGACTCGATCCCGGGACTCCAGGATCATGACCTGAGCCGAAGGCAGTCGCTTAACCGACTGAGCCACCCAGGCGCCCCTCCCCTTTTTATAATAAGGACACCAGTTGTATTGGCTTAAGACCTACCTCAATGACCTCATTTTAACTTGATGACTTCCGAAAAGACCCTGTTTCCAAGTGAGGTCACATTTTGAGGTCCTGGGACTTCAACATCTCTTTTTGGGGGCAACACAAACCCCTAGCAGATGGGTGGTTGGATTATAGGGGTCTGGCTCTCAGAATAGGGGCCCAGGGCGGAGATGTCAATTTTAGCATCACTGGCGTGTGGTTCCCCAAGCCTTGTGGATGGATGGAAGCATCTGGGGGGAGAGTTCGAGAAATCAGGTGAGCCCAGGACTGGGTTCAGGGAGAAGAGGCGGAGTGAGCCAGAGGCTGAGATGGTAGGAGGAGAACCTGGAGCGAGTTCCTCTATCTCTTGCAGAATACACGGCTATGATCTAATTACAGCAGAAGGACGTGAAGCATCATCAGCAAAGGGGAAGAGGTACACGGGGGGGATGTCTGGGGAGCCAGGCACAGGCTTCCAGAACCCTCTTGCAGGGCAGTCACACAGGACACGTTTAAGTCCTTTCCCTCTGATTGTGACACCCCATGTGAAGTGTCGTCTCCCAGGGAAGCCCATTAGGGATTCAGCACCCAGGGGGTTCACTGGGGGCTGGTCACGTAGGCACCTGCTGCCTGGCACGACCAAGAGTCCAGATTTCCAGAGGGGAAGCAGGTGGTCAGCATAGACCACACTGTTTGTAGGTGAGCCACTTGGATGGATGAACGGCGGTGGGAACCCTCCCCAAGTCCAAGTTCCCGGACGCCGGCCAGGGGCCAACCCTGTACGCAGGCCTTTGTAAGGAGTGCAGCCCCAGGCCTGCTGTGTCAGCTTCGTTCTGTATGGGAACCTATCAGGTATTAAATAAGAATGTGTGGTACTAATTTGAAATGGCGTAGATATAGTTAAGACAATATCCCACCTAGCGAGAATCTGGCTGCTTTCTTGTCGTCAGGGGGCTCTCTCAGCACCTTCCCATTTACTTCATTATTCCAGAATTCTCATTAGGCCTGAACTGCTGTGTTGATTCCTGGCCTCTCCCACATCACGCTTTCTCATTTGTCTCTGAAACCTGTCCCTTCCCTCACGTCCCCTTTACCATCCATCAGAGCCAGACCCTCATCATGTCTGACCTCGACTCTTCACACACATCCCTACGTTGATCTACCTGCTTCCTCAAACCCTGCCGTCTGAGCACGTCACCAGCTCCCTTTCTCGGACGCTTTCGGTGCTCTGGGTCTCCACAGACTGACTTCTATTTCTGCAGCCCGAGTTCCTCTGCCCTCCTTCTGTGCTGTCCTGCCTCTGCTTCTTGCCCATGCTGTTCGTCCTGCCTGCCACACTCTCTCTCTGCCGCTCTCTTTAGCGGCCTCCGTGGTTGCACATGATGGAAACTCAACTCCGATTGGCTTACAGGAAATTAAAGAGAAATGGGGCAGTCAGTATTGATTCACAAAACTGAAAAAGTCCCGGGGCATGGTTGGATTCAGGGGCTCGAAAGAGATCAGTCACTAATTCGTCTCTCCCCCGCCCTGTCTTGGCATTACCATTGTTCTCTTGTCTTTGCATTTTTGAATTTTCCCGAAGTAACTAAAAAACAAAACAACAACAACAACAACAAACCCACAAATGGATACTAGAAGCTCCAGGCTTGCATGCTCTTTGCTCAGCCTGGGTGAACGAGACTCTCTTTCCCAGATGTTGCGGCTGGAGTCCCCAGCAGGGCTCTGATCGGCTGGCTCGGATCACATGCCCACCTCTGAGCCCATCCCTTCGGCGGTCAGTGCAGGGGTTCTGATGGGGCAGACCACCCAAACCACAGGCAGGCGTAGAATGGAGAAGTGATTCTCCTCCAGTCTAGTGCAAGTTCCCCGATTTTAGCTCCTGTGCGGCGCAGGGTCCCCCTTCCCTGAGAAGCCTCCTCCACGGCGGCAGCTTCAAGGCTCCTGAGCGCCCGGGGCGTCTGCAGTCCGGGCTACGCACAGGGCATTTAGCACATGCTTCCTTGGGTCGGCATCGGACTTTGCACATGTGGGTTTCAGGCTCGTGAACAGGCGGGACGTGTCAGCCCCATTTTCCGTATCTGTAAACCAGCCCCTTGCAGGGCTGGGGTGTATTTCTATGAAGGCTGAGAGTGTTCCGGGGGGCCTCACTTAACAGCACCCCATGCGGTCTAGGCTGTTTATTTTCTGAAGGCCTTGCCCCCGGCAGCAATTTCTCACTGATGACATCAGCGGCTCTCCTGGGCTCTCCTCTCCGAGGCTGGTTGGCAGCACTCTCGGCCTCTACCTGCTCCCTGCCATTAGCCCCAACACACCCATCAGCTGGGGCAACGAAACATGTCTCCGGACGTTGCCAATGTCTCTTAGGGGGCACACTTGTCCCTGGTTGGGTACCCCCGCTCTGACGCTCACGATCACCCTCCCAGGTAAGCGGGAAGCATTTATTCCTCCCATTTCGCCAGTGAGGAGATTGAGGCTCAAAGGGATTGACACACGGCGTGTGAGCCTCAGGGCTCAGAGTCGGGGCCCAACCCTGCTCCTTGGCCTTGGCATCCTCCGCTCCTCCAGGGACGCTGTGCTTCTGTCATTTCGGTGCCTAGAGAGATGATGACCCCGAGGCTGAAAAACCCAACGTGTCTTTGTTTTCCAGGTATCGTGCCGGCGCTTTTCCCAGAAGAGGAGAAGGAGACGATCCTCAGTCAGATCGGACCAGAAGCCCTGAAGCAAGGGACGGGCCTGGCCAAGGAGTCCGTGTGGCAGTACTTCGTGAACAAGAGTGCAAACAACCTGCACATCGTCCTGGGCATGTCGCCGGTCGGGGACACCCTGAGGACCCGGTGCAGGAATTTCCCAGGTGCCCCTGAGCTGAGCATGCACAGCCATTCCCGCTCCCCCTCCCACCCCCCCGGCAGGGCGTTCCCGGCAAAGCAAAACATGGCATGGGCCCTGGGCTGGAATGTGGGCCCCGCTCTGCCCCTCACAATGGCCAGCAGGCTCTCGGGCTGGGCGCTGTCTTCCCACACCAGGAAATGCTCCCAGGCCCCGGTGTGCGGCCCGTAGTGAGCTCTCTGCTCTCCTCTGTTTGGACCGTCCTGCCAGTCTCGCAGAAGGTGCAGTCCTAGACCTCTAGAGCAGAGGTTGTGAAGTGGGGGGTGATTTTACTGGGCCCCTCCCAGGGACATTTGTCAATGCCTGGAGACATTTTCGCTTGTCGCATTGGGCGTGTCAGGGAGCGTGCTACCGACATCCAGTTGATAGAGGCCAGGGTGCTGCTGGACGTTCCACGCTGCTCAGACAGTCCTGCCGCGGAGGCCCATCCGGCCCAATGTCAGTCACGCTGAGGTCGAGAAACTCTGCTTTGGGTGAATTAGCCTTGGACACGTCTAGCTCTTCCACCAATGTGCTGGGTGCTGAAGAGCGTGTCACTGTCCTTGAGCGTCTCAAGGTTGCAGACTGATCATCTCTTTTGTCTCTCCTTCTTCTCAAGGTCTTGTAAATAACACTGGTATCGACTGGTTCATGCCCTGGCCTTCTCAAGCCTTGCACGCGGTCGCTAAGTCATTTTTAGGTACGTGACCGCTAATGGGGGGGCCGTGTTAATGGTATAACAAAATAACTTGTTATTGCTTTTCTGACTTGGAATTTGGTCCAGTAGATCCCTTCACCATTCAGCCCCGTGGCCGTGAATGGTTTTGAAGTTTGTCAGTGTGTTTTTGGCTTATACTGCGTTTTAATCTAAAGATTTCAGGGGGCTGGGGGTGCCTAGGTGGCTCAGTCAGTTCAGCGTCTGACTCTTAATTTTGGCTCAGGTCATGATCTCAGGGTCCTGGGCTCTGAGCCCTCCATTGGGCTCCATGCTCAGCAGGGAGTCTGCTTGAGATTCTCTCTCTCCCTCTCCCCATCTCCCTGCTTGTGTGTGCTCTCTCTCTCTCTCTCAATAAATCTTTTTTTTTTTTTTTTTAAGATTTTATTTATTCATTTGAGACACAGAGATAGAGAGCGAGCATGAGCAGGGAGATGGGCAGAGGCAGAGGGAGAAGCGGGCTCGGAGCCTGATGCGGGGCTCGATCCCAAGACCCTGGGATCATGACCTGAGCCGAAGGCAGCCGCTTAACCATCTGAACCACCCAGGCGCCCCTAAATAAATAAATCTTTAAAAAATAAAGGGACTTCAGGGGACTTACAAGGACAATTTAAGATAAAATTGATCAGTTATCATCCGAAGCAGGGACTGACGCATCATGGCCTTTGGGCCAAATGTGGCCAATGGCTTGTTTTGGTAAACAAAATGTGATTGGGGCACTGACTCATTTGTCAACTAACATGATGTCTATGGCTGCTTTTAAACTTCAGACTGCAGGGTTGAGGAATTATAGCAGAGACCATAAGGCCCACGAGGGCCGAATATTTACTGTTTAGCTCTTTACAGTAGAAGTGTGCCTGATCCCTGATTCAAAGGATGCCCAAAGGACCTTTTAGTAGGCCGATTGATTATCAGTCAGCGCTGAATTTGCTCAGAAGTTTCAAACACTTAAGTCCTTGGTTATTAATTTTAATCTTCGAAATAAGAAAGGAAGTTCTTCATCTTTAGGGAAAAGCTTCATCTTTAGGGAAAAGCTTTCTTTATCTGGACCTAACTTGAGCAGATTCATGGCAAATGACACTGGGTGGCCTTGTCAATAGTTTCTACCTTCTACATATGTGTTCAGTAAATAAATCATTTGTCCCTTTACACAGGGAGCACTCATAATTTGAATCAACACGCAGGGGCTAAGAAAATGGCTCTGTACTGACAATATAGCTCGCGGATCAGCAGACTTTTTCTGTAAAGGACCAGATGGTAAATATTTTCGGCCTCGTGGGTCATGCAGGCTCGGTTGCAACTACTCATGTCTGCCACTGAATCACAAAGGCAGCCGTGGATAGTACGTACGTGAGCCTGTGTGGCTGTGTTCCCATCAAACTGTCTACAAAACCAGGTGGCGGGACGCATGTGTCCTGCGTGGTCACCCGATCCAGGTGTGCCTCAGCTTCCGTAGGCACGCGAGCCATTCCCGTGTGTTAGCAGCACTGAGGTTTGCTTTCAGTATTCAGTGGCTCCGTGTCATAAACAACACCACGCCGAATTCGCTTAGAATTTTTTTTTTCTTGGAACAGATTCCCTGGCGTTGGGCTAACTGTGCCCCAAAGTATGGATATTTGCACCGTGGGCTGTGGAGTGCTGGCCCCTTGTATAATTTAAGATCAAACCCGCAGCATCCGGCTGAATGGTTACTTTTGGTCAATCTTCTCTTCCTTCATTTTAGTTGAAGGCACATTCCGTGTTGAGTATGTTGTGCTGTCTGTTAGGTGGTCCAACAGATGTGATCTGAGCACTGGAAGCGATGATTGATTGTTTCAACAGATGTAGAGGAAGGCCCACTTTGTGCCCACTGTGCGCTGGGCACAAGGGATCCAGCAGGGACACTGGGTGCGTTTCCCTCCTGAAACCCCGAGCCCCCTCCGCGGACAGTGGCACAGCCAGCCCCGGAGACCGACCTTCTACCCGCAGGGAAAGAGGAATTGCCAGAGCATGGATCGGTCCCGTGGCCCAGAAGAGCCACCAACCAAGTGATAGCTGCTTTTTTCCTTTCTCTATTGAACATTTTTCTAGCACCTTTTTCTTGTGCTAAAACATCTATAACATAAAATTTGCCATTTTAGCCATTTTTAGGAGTCGAGCTCGCGGCATTAAGCACATTCACATTCTTGTGGAGCCGCCACCACCATCCAGCTCCAGACCTCCTTCCATCTGGTAAAACCGAAACTGTCCCCATTAAACACGAAGTTCCTGT